GTGGGTACTTTCAAGTTTTTTTTTTCTAAACATGCACTACAGATATGATTGTAATTAATTCCTTTCCAATTTCAATACCTTTCATTAATCACTGCATATAAATCAGCATGAATTAGAAGTGATGTCAGAATCAATACTCTTGTGTTTGATCACTTTTAAGTAAAGTAAAGGTTATTTGAACAGAAGAATTGTGAAACCATAAAAGTCAATCTGATAATGACTACTGCTAAGTAGCAGGTAAGATGGTAGGGTTTATACTGTGGAAATACCAGACAATAGAATGATTTACTTCCTGATTCGGACATTGAAATTGCTTGAGATTTCATCATGTACTTGTGAACTGTTCATTTTTGAAGGCTTTTTGTTTTGTTTTGTTTTGTGTTGAAGATTTACTTTATTTAAAAGGCATGATTAAAGAAAGAAAACTCTTCCATCTGTTGGTTCACTCCCCAAATGACCACAACCATCAGGGCCAGGCCAGTAAGAATCCAAGAGCCAGAGCTTCATCTGGGTGTCCCATGTGGGGCGTCCCATGTGGCTGCAGGAGCCCGAGGATTTGGATCATCTTCCACTGCTTTCCCATGTGCATTAGTAAGAAGCTGCATGGGAAGTGGAGCAGCCAGGACTCAAACTGACACTCAATAAAGGATGCTGGCATCTCATGTAACAGCTTTACCCAACACATCACAACGCCAGCTTCTGGAATGTTTTTCTTGATACTGTATGCCATAGTTGACCTTGAATAACTGAAAGCACAGGAAGCCAGCCCACTCCAGGGGGACAGGAAAGAACTTACTACACTATTTTCCAAAGAATGTATTTCAAAGAGGTAATGTTAGGAAATGATCCTAGACAGGTGAACAACTCAAAGGACCCACAGCAGCCTTTTCACATTTAAATTTTGCCCTGAGGTCAACCAGAAATCACTGGAGGTTTTTTAAAAAAGAAGTTCGAAACTCAAATGGAGAGGCTTTCAGTTTTTTTTATTGCGATGCCCACCTGACCCAACAGATGCCTTCTCTTCTGATCTCCGTCTCACATCTAAAATTCCTTTATTGCCAGAAAACAAGAACTTCTGTTCCAGCCATCTCCAGGCATGACTGCACATGTGCAGAGAGAAGCCAGTGCCAGGAATTATTTGCCAAACCTAGGCATTTGCACAAGATAGAAACGATAAGCAGCTAACTGGTGCAACCAAAAAAGCCATAGGAACACTAGGGCTTAGGACACCAGAGTCCGTTCCAGAAGCAAAAGATCCCCTAAACACAGAAATCTGGGACTGAAAGTCCCTCTGACCATGCTGGCCTGATTCCAAGCCTCTCCAGGTGATAAGGCTAGGCAGAGAGTCAGGGACAAGGAGCTAAAGACTGCAAACCCCCATGCCATGCACCATGCACGGGGCACATCAGCTGTGTCGACTGAAGGTGGCAGAAGACTTACCATCATGTATCAGATTCCATGACTCCTTCCTGGAGGTTACTGTGTGCACCACAGTCTCGGCTAAAACCCTGAATCCATTGAACATTCAATTAGGCCCTGCCCAGAGCACACCCCTTATCCTGTAAAAAGGACAACTCAAGCTTGGGTTGGAGCAGTTCTTTGTGATATTGCCCATGTCTGACTGTACTGTCTCTTTGCCTTTCACTTAATCCTCATTCTGCTTACCCCTTAAAGATAGAATATTTGAATAATTTGATTTGCATTGTGGAAAACTGTTGTTCCAGTTCAGGTTATAATCCAGAAAATTAATTAGAGAACTTTGTCACTCTAGGGAAGAAAAAAGCTGCTGCACAGGCTAGTGTAGTGGTGGTAGAGATGGAAATAGTTTCTAATGGGGTTTCGGGAATGGAGTTGGATGTCAGAGGAGGAAGAACAAAGATGGGCCAGTGATGTTGTTCTTTGCCAATTTCAGGAATAGGAGAAGCAGTTGTGAAAAGGTAATGAGTTTTGTTTTGGAGATAATACGTTTGAGGTGCCTGGAACACATCCATTTCCTTCTAGAGCAAAAAAGAAATATCTAGGGTGGATCTTTATGTCAGTAGCAGTTTTATATGATTATTGAAAACATGACAGGAGGTAAAATTCACTCACATACCAGTTCATAGCATAGATTTGAGATAACACACACAATTCATCTTGCTCTGTTCTGCAAAGCTTCTCTCTTGTATTTTGCCTCTTCCCTGCCCACCGTTCTCTTACACTCTCTACACCCCAAAACAATAATTTCATATACCTCACTGTAAAGTTAGTACAGTGGTATATATTGTAAGAGTATTACCATTATTAGCTTTCTCTTCCTGCATTAGGTTTTAGATTTTAGCAAGATTTCTTTTTGCAAAGGTAGCATTGTAATAACACAGCCCAATGTATTTCAATTTTAGTGTCTTAAAGACTTTTCTGCATGATCCTCTTGTGGAGTGGAGTAAACCAGTGAAAGGTCATTCCAAAGCAGCACAGAATGAAACTGGGGAAGTCCTCAACGAAAAGGTTAGTACAAAGGCGTCTAACTCGACAGGAGCCGACACTCTCTACAAATGACACTGAATTGAAACACTGCCAGGGACTATTAACTTCTCTGAAATCTAGTCTAGTTTGACAGTACCTTACGTTGTGTTTATTGTCATTACTAATGCCAGCATTTAACCACAACTAATGAGATCAACTGGCAAGAAGTTAGATAGGGCACCGGTGTGCCAACATCCATTTCAGCAAATGTAATGGCTCAGTCCTTAAAATTACTTGCAACTTCAAAGTAGATTGAAGATTTATTCCTAATAACATCATTCTCCCTTTTGTGTTCTAATACGTTTTCTTTTCTGATGTAAGGCTGAGAACTGCTCCATGTATAAACACTGCCCGAATACTAGGCGTGAAACCACTGTTGCTGCATTAGACTTTTCATTCAAATGTACAGGTCTCAACACTTTCAAAACAGAGTTTGTAAAAGAGTTTATTTATTTCTGTATTTGAAGGTGGAGACAGAGCTGGATGGACATCCCCCATCTGCTGGTTCACTCCCCACATGGCCGCTGTTGCTGGGCCCAGGGCTGGGCTGGGGAAGAAGCCAGGAGCTTTCTTTAGATCTCCTCATGCCTGCACCATCTGCTGCTCTCCCAGGCACTTTAGCATGGAGTTGCATGGGAAGTGGAGCAGCTTGGACTTGAGCATATCCTCCTGTGGGATGTCTACAGTGTAGGCCATGGCTTAACCTGCTTGCCATCATGTTTGACCCTTCTTTTTTTTGTTTTTTTTAAGATTTATTTATTTTTATTACAAAGTCAGATATACAGAGAGGAGGAGAGACAGAGAGGAAGATCTTCTGTCCAATGATTCACTCCCCAAGTCAGTGCAATAGGCCGGTGCTGCACCGATCTGAAGCCGGGAAGCAGGCCACGCGGGTACAGGGTCCCAAAGCTTTGGGCCATCCTCAACTGCTTTCCCAGGCCAGAAGCAGGGAACTGGATGGGAAGCAAAGCTGCCTGAATTAGAACCTGCGCCCATATGGGATCCCGGGCGTGTTCAAGGCAAGGACTTTAACCAGTAGGCCATGCTGCCGGGCCCAGCCCCTCTTTTTTAAATGATTGCTTTTTAAGGCAGATATTTGGTGCAGTGGTTAGAGCGCAGCTGGGAATGACTGCTGTATGTATCAAGAGAGCCTGGGTTTGAGCTGCAGCCATACTCTCCATCTCAGCTTCCTTGGGTGATCTGGCCCAAGTAGGTGGTTACCCGCTGCCCACGTGGGAGACCCAGACTGAGCTTCCACTCCTGGCTTTCGCCTACCCAACCCAAGCTGTTGAAGCCACTTGGGGAGTAAAACCGAGAGATGAGAGGTTTTTCTGCCTTTCAAATTGAAAAAAAAAAAGTGTTATTTCTTTTCCTAGAACTCTAGTGTGGAAGGATTTCCCTAACATTTCCTATAATGGAATAAGTCACTGAATTTTAATCAAGATTTTCAGCCTCAAGATTTAGTTACAGAATTTGCTCTTGTGCAGCAAGTACCTACAGGAAAGATATTAATGAGCAAAATACTGTTAACATTTATAAAAATATCAAGAAATGATCAGATCCTTATTGCTAAGGATTTTGTATTTTTTTCTTTTTAGGCTAAGACTCATGTTCTTGATATCGAGCAACGATTACAAGGTGTAATCAAGACACGAAATCGAGTGACAGGCTTGCCGCTCTCCATCGAGGGGCACGTGCACTACCTGATCCAGGAAGCCACGGATGCCAACTTACTCTGCCAGATGTACCTGGGGTGGACCCCATACATGTGATATGAAGAACGTGCTAGCAATCCAAATCTGACTTTTTTATATTTAATATTAGTAAGTGGCTGTATGTATTCAATTCTAAAGTGACCCATTTTTTGTGCTTTTAGAGCAACGAGTATTATTTCTACCTGATTGTGGACAATATTTTAAATATATGTTCTATTATTTAGAATAAAACCGATTTCCTAATACATAATGCGTATTTGATTACCTGGAGAAATGTGTTGTGGTGGTTAAAAAATGTATTTTCAGATAGCAATCTAGCCTATTTTCATTTTGCTTCTTTTATTGACTTCCCTTTAAGAATAGTAGTTGCATAAGGATTCATTTGAACAATAAAATTCTGTGAAATACTGTGAGGAAGGTACTGCGCTTGTAAGCGAGAGATATAAATAACCTATCATATTCATTATTAAATGAAGAGTTTTATCAAAAACTCTTTGGAGGGTTTGGAAATGTGATAGGGAAAATAACCTATGAAAACTAACGCATTCTGTCATTTAAGCATGTTGCCGTGTCGTCGTGACAATTCCGAGTCGGGCATCCACTGTGCGCTGGCTCCTGCGGGGCAGCCTGGCTGGGTGCTCCCGCCAGCGACGCCCCGCCCCCGCCGGCGACGCCCCGCCCCGCCCGCGCCAGCCCCGCCCCTCCCCGCCCGGGAGAGGCGGGGTCACGGCCCGCCCCGGCTCCGCCTCTCCGGCCGCTCTAGCCCGCCGGGCGCTCTCTATGGTGGCGCGGCCGGCGTGTTGTCATCGGCGGAGCGACGTCCGGAGGCGGCGGCGTAGGCCCCGGCGGGGCGTTTGGTTTCGGTTTGGCCTTGACTGCAATTAGTCTTGACGGTCGAAATGGGAGTCCCCAAATTTTACCGATGGATCTCGGAGCGGTATCCCTGCCTCAGCGAAGTGGTGAAAGAGCATCAGGTGGGCGAGCCTGCGCGGAGGCTCTGAAGGCCGAGCCCCGGGGGCTTCGCGGCCGACGGGGGGGCTCTCCATCCTTCGGACTCGTCGTCTCCGGGACGAGTGGGGCGAAGGGAAGGGGAGAAGGGTTGAAAGCCCCCGGCCGGTCTGCGTGGGGCAGAGGCGCGGGGCTGTGGGCCGTTCTGACAGCTCCGCCTCGGCTGGGCCTTCCGCGTCCAGGCAGTCAAGCCCCGGGAAGGAACGATTTGCTGAGGGCTCCCCTCTGCTCCCCGACGGGCGCCTGTGCAGGCTGCGGGGCCGGTGTGGGTGTGCAGTAACGCTCGCCCCCCGCAGTGGGATCACCTTGTTTACTTTGCTGGACGAGGGCTGCATCCCGCCCCGCCCCCCGCCTGACTGACGTGGCCGAAGCCTTGCATTTATGATGCTGCCTTCCCGAGGAAGGAGCAGGTCCGCTCTTGGCAAAGCCCTGGGACAGTCACTTGGGCTGGCATTCTCTGGAGACTCGGAAAGGAGGGAGGGCTTGTGGGAGCGTTGATACCATTCGTAGTGTTTGGGATGTGGTGACACTCGGGCACCATTTGTAGCAGGTTCTGAAAAGGTAGTTTCTGTGTTTCAACTATGGGAAGAGAAAGCGATCGTCCAATGGAGAAACTTAACTTTGAATGAAACTTTAATGTTAGTCACTTTCGGTGAATTTGAAAGATCTCTTGTTTTAGGTTTTGCAAGAAACCTAAAAGAAGAATCAGATTCTAAATTATGTTATGATGAGTTGCACTGTAGTAATGGGGGGGGGGAGGGAAATAACACAGCGAATGCCTCATTCTATGAAAATACGATTTAGTCTTTTTAAAACTGCTTGTAAACCTGAAGGTAGAGTAAACTTCTGCAAACGATTCTGTTACAGACTTCCAGGAAGATTTGCTATATGAAAAAGGGCTTACAGAAATACCAAAATACTGGCTTTATCCATCTATTTGAAACAATGGGTTGTTAAGTTTAGGAAGGCATTTATTTCCAGAGAATAAAGTCTAAAAAGGACACCAGTACATTCCAAAAATACAGACAAGTTTAACTTTTCCTGATGCCATCAAACACTTGAGTCATCAGAGACTCTCTAAAATAAAGATGCAGTGTGATCCCCAGAGTGACCTAATCATGGGTTTTCAGGAATATTTTATTTGCTTCCTAACAGTGTTATTTTATTCACTGTTTCATTTCCCAGATGCCTCCGACGGGCGGGTCTGGGGCAGGCAAAAGCTGGGAGCCATGATCTCAGTTGGGCTCCCTTGCGGCTGGCAGAGAACCACTCCCTCGCAGAACACAGCTTTAGGAGAATGTCGGAGACAAAGACAGAGGACTACCAGCTACTCTCAAGCAGTGCTTGTAGAAGGAAATAATGCTTATATCACTCCCAGGAGATCAAAGCCTAGTCCTTGGCAGAGTGGGTTGGAAGAAGGTGGGGGTGGCAGCAGCACCCTTTTTTAGTTCCGATTTCCTCATGTGAAAACAGAAAGTGAAACTAGATCACAATATTTGAGACCCATAAAACAATTACAACGATGCATGTGGCATAGTATCCCCATGAACCTCCAGAATAGCACGTAGACAAGCTACTGAAAATGCAGCCACTGTTGGCATCAGAAAGAGGAAGAAGGAAGCAGTGGTGTTTATGTGGTAGATTTGAGACCAGCAGAACTCCAGACTAGCCAACAGGTATCACTAGGAGACCTGCTGGCCAATTAGATGGTGGTAGTTCAGAGGGAGCAGTTACATTGACTTGTGAAAGGTCTGCTCAGAAGAACAGAGAGCAGCAACAGAGTGTCTCTTGCGGACGTTAAAGCTGGCAGAGCCCGCCCTATGGAGAAGCTGCTTGAGGGAGATTGCAGAGAGGCATGACACAGCCTGAGCTGAAAAGGAGTGACACTACAGAGTCAGGAGATCTTAGAGAAAATCAGCAAGCAAGCCCACACACAGCATGAAAGGGAGCTGCTGAGGTTAAAGCTTTCCTGAACCTTTGCTTATTCTGAAAGTTCAAGTAAGTTAGATTCTATAAAAATAAACAACAGAAAGGAAGCAACATCAAGTCATATGCAAAGTTACTGAAGAAAAAAAGAACATCCTTAAAAAGGTTATAAGCTTACAATAAGAACACATGAGGAAAACTAAAAAAAGCTATAACCTATCTAAATGAAAATGCACTAAGAAAATGATACAGGTCATGAAAGAAAGAATGTGTGTGTGTGTGTGTGTGTGTGTGTGTGTGTGTGTGTGTGTGCATTATGAAAACTCAGGAATGAGAAGACAGAGCCAAGAAAATTATGAATATATTTAAAACATCATTTTAAAATGAAGTCTGAAGTAGAAACAAAGAAGAATAAATGATACTGTAACTGGAAAAGGGTGGGAAAAAAGACTTTTTCTAAAATAAAGATTTATTTTATTTTTATTGGTAAGGCAGATATACAGAGAGGAGGAGAGACAGAGAGGAAGATCTTCCGTCCGATGGTTCACTCCCCAAGTGACCACAGTGGCTGGAGCTGAGCCAGTCCAAAGCCAGGAGCCAGGAGCTTTTTCTGGAGTTCCCACGCGAATGCAACTCCCAAGGATCTGGGCTGTCCTCGACTGCTTTCCCAGCCACAGGCAGGGAGCTGGATGGGAAGCGGGGTCGCTGGGATTAGAACCGGTGCCCATATAGGATCCCAGCACGTTCAAGGCAAAGACTTTAGTTGCTAGACTATTGCGCCAGGCCAAAAAAAAGGACATTTTTAAAAATTAAAGAGAAAATTCAAGGAAAAAGTAACAGAGAAAAAGGAAACAAATAATGGGAGTTATTTTAAAAAGAAAACCAAAGAATGTAACAGTTACTGAAATTACAATTGAAACTTTCCTGAAATTGTAAAAAAAAAAAGCCTGGAAGCAGTGTCTGAGAATAGTGAGTTGGGTGACCAGGACATACTCTGGGAAATGACTGGAAAAAGGGAAGGACTGGTTGCTTCACCAACCAAGAGGCCCCAGGTGGGGAATATGTCTCCCCTAACAGTTGAAGGGCAAAAAGAAAAAAGACGAAGTGAAAATAGCTTTCTACTTTAGAATTTAATAACACTGTCATTGAAGAAGGAAAAACAGCTCTGTATTGTTTTTTTCCCCGAATAACCATTTCTGCTTCAGCACCACATCATCCTTGACATCACCTCAGACCTTGGAGCCTTCAGCTCACAAAGCTCAGTGACCTTGTACAGCAGTTCCAGCTTCTGACGCAGTACTCTGCGTTTATTCTGGAACAGTTTGCTTTTTCCACCAATTCAAACCCATTTGCTCTCGGAGAAATGTGTGATTGCCTAGTGTCCCCTTTTCAGGGAGTGAAAGGCTAAATAGTATGAAATCCTCTATGATCATCAACTTTTTAAAAAAGAGAGAATGTGGATATATTCTTAATCTGTCTCCTTTACAAAAATTTGTCATATAGCTAAAATTGTAAGTAACTAGGGCATATATACAGTGCCTTTTACTTTGTAATCCAGCACGGTGCCAAAACCACAATTTGTTAAGCACTTGCCGTGTTTCAGATGCTGTTTTAAGTGCTTTACGTGCGTTCAGGGTTTAAATCTCTAGTAAAGGTAAGTATTGGAACTGAATTTGAAGTCAAGTAGAATTGCTCTAGAGCTGTGGTTTGTTATTAGTGTGGTGGTGGTTACAATCCCATCTAGGAATCTCTGTAGGCTTATTTTTCCCCTAATCGTTGCCACCATTCCATGGAATTTTAATGTCACAGATGTACTACATATCTGATATGTACAAACACCAATTTTGGCCCATTTGAGAGTTATATTTTTCCTGTAGATCCTGCATTATTTTCTTCAGTATAGTAAAGTATACGTAATTGAGTTTTACCATCTTAGCCACTTTCGAGAATAGAATTTTTTAGGATTAAATACTTTGATCGCTTCTTGGCCTTTTGGCTAAGATCAAGTGTAGGATTAAATGCATTAGGTTGTTATGCTACGCCTGCATTTCTGTAGCTAATCTGTGCATCATGCTGAAAACAAAGGTCTTGGCTAGGAAAACCTAAAATCTCAAATTATAGGACCCAAATGTTGGTGTCCCTGTTTTACTGTTTTTGCTGCTGTATAGAGATATTATTGCCCTTTTCTTAATTGCATTATTCCATTCAGTGTATTGCTCAAACTCCCAACATGGATATGTGACACATAATGAGTTTTCAGTAAATATTTGCAAGTGAATTTATCAACTGGAGCATTGTAAATGAGCATAACATTGGGAACTATACATGAAAATATATATATAGTAGTACTTTTATGGAAATGAAACAAGATCTTGAGACTGCTTTATAATGAATATGATTAAAAGGGCAGGGTTAAAATCCTCATTTTGCATGAGCCAGGATCCTGTATGGGCTGGTTTGTGTCCCAGCCTCTCCATTTCCCATCTAGCTTCCTGCTTGTGGCCTGGGAAAGCAATAGAGCCTTGGGACCCTGCACCCATGTGAATGACCCAGAGGAAGCTCCTGGTTCTTGGCTGCAGATTGGCTCAGCTCCAACTGTTGTGGCCACTTGGGGAGTGAACCAGTGAGTGGAAGACTTTCCTGTCTTTCCTTTTCTCTGTAAATCTGATTTTCCAGTAAAAAATAGATATTAAATAAAAAGATTATAGGGCAAAAAGAAAGGTTGTTGACAGCTCTTAAAGCCAAAAATGTGTCTTTTGGCTGTATGAAACTGGAGTTTTAACATAGGAAGTTAAACTAAGGAAAAGAAACCAATGTCTTAACAAGATCAGATGCTAAGATACTTCTACATAGCAGCAATTTGAAACAGTTAAAGGAAGTTAAAGGAAGGGTTCATATATACTCATCAAATACCTTTGATTTGCTGCTTTGTTTCGCGTGTACTAAATTTAAACACAAAGAAGAGGCACTGCTTTGCATCTACGGGCTCATAGTTTAGCAGTGGAGATGTGTATTAAGCATCTTACGTATGTGTATTGAA